AAGCTACAGAGCTTAGATGGTACTCAGTAAATAAGACCTCAGACCTCATTGTTGAATGATAAATAATTGGTATGAAGCAAACATCCATCTATTTGAATGAAGGTGCTTACTCCTCTCAGAACAACAGATCAGTGGATAAATACAATCCTGTCTGGGTCAATAGGTGAAAAGTATTGAGCTTGCAGAAGAGCACAGGCTATGACTGATGCTTCTGTTTGTTTCAGGAACACGGGGTTACACATGCAGAAGGAGCAGTTTTCCTTTCAGCTGTCAAATGAAGTGCAACGCAAAAAACTCAGTCTCTCATTTCTGCTAAGTGTAGAACAGTCATGCCTGTGACTGACATCAGGAAGAGCTGTAGATACTGGACAGTGAGTGTGTTCATGTTAATTGCACAACAGTTGCTGTATTAGTGATGAATATTTTTTATCCCTTTGGAAAAAAATTATTAAGAGATTGATATATGAATTTATTATGATGGAAAATGAGCCTTGGTATCAGTTGAGCAGCCATAAGTTAAGACACCACTTGGTAGCTTTAAGAGAGTTCGAGCAAAGTGTTGAGGGCACTTTTTCCATCATATTTTTTTCCAGCAGTGCATATAACATTGTAATAGTCTCTTGACTACCAAAGGAAAAAAGAAAAGAGCAGGCTTTTCCACTTTCATACTTCAGAGATTTCATTATGAAGGACTCATTTAAATAAAGAATGGTATAAATGTTACCTTCCTATTACAAAAACCGTGTTTCTGTAGAAATTTCTTGGGCTTGACTTACCCGGAAACACAGAGACCACTGTCACCTTCACAAGGCTTTCAAGAATCACTTCCTAGAGCAGTTCAATGGTCCAGCTCTGGGCTACTCAGCACAGGAAAGACATGGATCTGTTGGAGTGGGTTCAGAGGAGGGCTACAAAAATTATCAGAGGGATGGAACACTTCTCTTATGAAGAAAGGCTGAGAGTTGAGGCTGTACAGTCTGAAGAAGAGAAGAGCAGAGACATCTTACAGCACTACCTTTCAGTACCTAAAGGGGGCTTAGAAGAAAGCTGGGAACAAACCTTTTAGCAGGGCTTGTTGCAATAGGGCAAGGGGTAATGACTTTAAACTGAAAGAAGGCCAATTTAGATGAAACACAAGGAAGACATTTTTTAGGCTGAGGGTAAACATTCATGGTCAGGCTGGACCAGGCTCTGAGCAACCTGATTTAGTTGAAGATGTCCCTGCTCATTGCAGGGTTGGACTAGATGCCCCTTAAAGGTCCCTTCCAACCCAGACTGTTCCACGATTCTATATGCCTGGGAAAGAATGTGATGCAAGTTCTCTGTAGTATAGTCTTAATCCACAAAGTAAACATAATTTTTCAAAATTTTGCTAATATTTATGCAAGTAAAGGTATGGTTATTAATACTTAATGTTACACTGAGACACTGAGATGTCCTTCTGGCCTGTACTGTTGTAGATCTTGAATAGAGCAGGTAAAAACCATAGCTGGCACAGCGTTCAGGAGAATGGTGTTCAATATAAGATTTTCAAGATGGAAACAGATCTTTGCTAGTTTTTTTTCCTTGAGCAGAAGAGCCTGTACCACTTAAACAAGTACTGTTGATGTTTTTACAAGCACCACTTGGAATATGATCGTACTCTTCCACAGTGTTTACATTGTTTTCCTTGCCTGAAGAAGAGATTTCTAACAAATGGATTGAGTGCAGCACAATGACTCACAGTGATGTTTTAGTTTTAAAATTTGAAGGATACATGAGCTTAAAATGAGGAGAGAGACAAGAACACTGTGAAAAGGTGGGTTCTGATACATCTCTGATTGTAAGTTGTGAATTGGTCTAGACAGCACTGATTTCTAATGAAATACAAGTGAAGCAGAAATGACTTCCAGCAAAACATTTATTTCAGTCAAAGTTGAAATTACTGTGTCCTATTGAACCCAAATCTGTATGAAACATGGCAGATTCTTTCTAGCAGCTTTTCTTCCTTGAGAGGCAGCTGTTTTCTGGGTATATATTATGGTTTTCCCACTTAGTTTCAGTTATGTGGGTTTTGTGCTTCAGTAAATGTTTTCATAAATGATCTAAGCCAACTAAGATCTCGTTGGTTACTGGAAGGTGCAGTCCTTGACAATTCCATCACAATGGCCATAATACTTGCAAGATCAGTCAAAATGGGCGCCACTGAAAATTAGTATCACCAATGAAGACCCCCTAGGGTAGGTTTTCAGTCAGATCACTTTTCTGACAGAGAGGGAATAACAGAAACAGGCCTGGCAGATGTAACTTGAATGTAGGTCTCTTAAACTCCCAAACTGCCTCAGAGAATTTCCCTGTGCTATCTTAAAACAGATAAAGTCAGAAGCTGTACCATGTATGTAGGATGAAGTACTTTTTCTTGTTTCATACAACTGTTAATCCTGAGAAGCAGTCTAGAGTTCAACTAAGTCATTTCAGCAGAAGGAGGAAGGAGTGGGAGACAACTTGCAAGCAATCTGTTCAAATGAAAATTTGTCACTGCTGCAGAAGCTGCTTAAAGATTTTGCCCATTTCCCAAGAAGGCCATTTCACCTATCTTTTCAAGGTTAGACTTGAGTTGAGATGTTCTTACTGGCTCAGCAAAGTCTTAAGCAGAGGCCAGCACTTCCAGTGGTGCAGAACATATTAATTATGTAGTACTTTGTGGTGTGGACCACTGCCTGTCAAAGATCAGTAGCAAAGATCACTGTATGCATTTCAATTAGGAGACTGTGCTCTCTGAAGTGGATTTTTTTTCTCCTCTCTTTATTCTTTCAACAGCCTAGCAACCCAGGGATGGTGCTTCATCTGAGATGTTTTTTCTGGCTCCAGAAAAAGTAGAAGAGCTAAGAAATTAGCTCTTCGCTAAAGATGAGGATCTAAAATTATCTTCAGATAAATAAAGAAACAAATTTACAATTCTTGTCCTTTCAGATGCTTTGAAAACAAATGAAATCTAGGCTGAAGGTTCCCCTGTCTAGCATCAAATAAAGATCAAACAATTTATAGTGTCATAATACTTTCACAAGAAAGGAAAACAGTATTACAGAATGAATCTTTTGGGCATAACTTACACAAAGTTCATGTGAGTAACAGTATTTAACAGTACAGCTCGACATGCTTCTCAGAGGTCAATGGTTCTTATTTCTGTCTGTGACTTCAATTACCATCACCAACTGTTCAGCCTTTATTTCCATTGATGAAGGTTTTGAAATACCTTGAAATGGTGTGGCCTCAGTAACAGGGAGGAGTTACAGCTTGCATTAAATTATTAGTTTTGATGTAACAGTCACTGATTTCTCTAGGATTCAATGTTGAGGATGGCAAACAGAATTATGTTTAAAACTGTATGAACATGCTTGTTTATCTCATTCCTCTTGTGCTTTCTCAAGCATCAGGATCTTGCATTTATGACCTTTGGTAGGAAGACCCTTGCAATTCTGTCATTTCAATTCTGTCATTTCAATGCTGTCATTTACATGCTGCTTAGCTTTGTCTCTTGTCTTTAGTTAGGAGCTAAATCTCTGCTGCATATTGTGAAGTCTTGAAAATGGAAAAGAAAGAAGTATTAGATAAATGCACATTTTGAAATTTAAAACACTGTTTAGCCTGTAAAATGCTTGGCTAGGAATTCCATGTTAGTGCACATGAACTGTCCTACGTATGTTGTTGTATCCTTCTTGGGAGTTCAGATCTGAGTGTTGTGTCTTCCAGTGTCCTGCAAAGTCTGTATTCAGGAGTATTATCCTTACGATGTTTCCCATGTAATCTAAGCCTAATTACCATATTACTTCAGACTTTTTCTACAGGTCTGAAGTGAATAGGCTTCCTTTTTCCTCTGGATTTCTTTCCCAGCTGACCAGCTGTCAGTTTAAAAATATTGTTGTGTTGAGTGCATCAAAATTCAGGAGACTAATTTTCAGGATGTTGCTTCGTTTTCTCTCTGTTCCAGTAACTTTGGTTGTATTACTGATTTGAGTCACGCTTTTAATGTGTTGCCTTTTGTGTTGTGCAAATAACAAAGTTAAATCAAACCTGAAACATTTTGTTCTGTTTTGATGGAAGCAAGTCTTTCCTGTGCTTTCACTTTACTTGGAACTCCAGACTTCCCTAATGAATAAGTAGTTTGACCTCTAATGTTGGAAGGCTGACATCTTATCAAATCAGAATGAAATGAAGAACAAACTGTGTACTGTTAACAACAACCTTAGTTCTCAACAGCTTTGACTTGAGCAGGAAAATGAATAAAATGAGACAATAAATATGGGTATTACTGTGAAACATGAAAGGTTAGGGAAATTGTGTGATGTCTTGATGCCCTGATCTTTCTTCTGTAGACACATAATTTTTAACTTTTGGCTATGCAACCAAATAAAAGATAGTTTGCTGTTCTCCTGCTCCTCCAAATGCTTCTGCAGTTTGCAAAAACAAATATATAATTTTAAAGAATTCAGCATGCTTGGGAAAACCATTTTCAATACAAGATTCTTCATGCATTGCAGTTCACCTACATAGCAGAAGGGCTGCAAAAGCTTGATTTGTTTCACCTATACCCTTTACCGTGTTCAAACTTGTAATCTTAGTGCCTCATTTTTCTCTAAACCAAATCTATAAAACATAAATTCACATAAATTTACCTGCTCCCCAAATTCTTTCTTCCAGCTTAGGATGCTCACTTTTAGACTTTACAAAGTGAGGACTGATCCCTGCAAGCCTCCAGCTTTTGAAGGTGTCAGGTGTTTTGATAAAAGGCTGCTGTGAAATGAAACAGCATTCCCCCTCTAGCAATGGTCCTTAACTTTTGAGGCTTTCTTGTATTTTTAGAATGTGCTTTAACGGGGATGTATTATCCCATTAATAATGCTCACTGACAACTTAGAAAAAGATTTCTATAGCATTTCATAGCACTGTAACTTTTGTTGAATTTTGAGTGCGCTATTTGAACTGATCACAAAAATAATTCTAATAAACTCTTCCCACAGAAACTGAAACAGAAGAATCAGCAGCTGAAGCAGATCATGGATCAGTTACGAAATCTTATTTGGGACATAAATGCCATGTTGGCAATGAGGAACTGAACAAGGAAAATCAAACTTTGTAACTGAAGAAAGTACAAATCTGTTTGGATATGCTTAACTTCCTTCTAAGAAGTAACATGTTTTTCCACAATTATATTGCAGTAATGTTTGAAAAGTCTTCAAGATTAAAATGTTGGGTCGTTTTCTAGTAATGTGAATGGTGTTGGGTTTGTTTTTATAGAAGATTCATCCTATAAGTTTTACCTGTGTGATTCTGCTGTACAGCCTCAGTAATTTACAATAGTAGTTTGGATTGCTATGCAGATAGGGGATTTTATAAATAAAATGTTTCTGGATTTTCTTTATAATATTAGTAAAAATTATAAAAACATATGTTTGTATGCCATTCTTCAGTGCAAATAGCCTCTACAGAGAGACAAAGTTGCAAGACAGTAAAGTTGCTCCAGTAAGCCAGAGGGCTGAAGTGCAATCAGATACTGCAATTCAATCTGCAGTATTTCATATCTGCAGTGCAGAGCAGAGCAGAACAATCCCCTGCCCTGCCTGGCTGGCAATGCTGGGCCTGATGCCCCCCAGGACAGGGTTGGCCCTCCTGGCTGCCAGGGCACTGCTGACTCAGGTTCAACTTGCCATTGACCAGGACCTGTAGGTCCCTTTCCACTGCACTGCTCTCCAGCCTCTCATTCCCCAGTCTATACAAACAACCAGGGCTGCCCCATCCCAGGTGTAGAATCTGACACTTGCCCTCCTTAAACTTCACACAGTTGGAGATTGCCCAACCCTTTAATTTGTCGAGGTCTCTGCAGGGCTTTTCTGACCCCAAGGGAGTAGACAGCTCCTCCCAGTTCGGTGTCATCAACAAATTTACTTAGTATTCCTTCCAGTCCTGCCTTGAAGAGCGCAGGGCCAAGGATGGAGCTCTGTGGAACCCCACTAGTGACAGTCACCAGTGCTCCACTCACTGTAACACTGTGCCCAGCTCATCAGGCAGTTGCTTACCTATCATGTAACTCAGTTACAGCTGTGTGCTGGACATTTTGTCCAGAAGGCTTCTGGGAGACAGTATCTAAAAGCTTTGCCGCAGTCCAAAAAGATTACATCTGCTGGCTTTCCTAGATCAGCTAGGTGGGTTACCCTCTTGTAGAAGAAAATCAGGTTCAACAAGCAGAACTTCCCTCTCAGGAAGCCATGCTGGTACTGAACAACTGTGACCAGTGATGCATTTCTGTAGCATTATGTATGGTTGGAATACTTCGGTTTTGTTTACCAGAATGCTAAATAAAGACCTCAATAATATTTTCCCTATGACTATGAGTCCTAGTAAACTTTGGAGTATATGAGCAGTTTATTATTTTGAGTTAATCATAAACCTTCATCTTTCTTTGTTCTAACTTTGTTACTCCTCACAAGTTTCTTTTGCCCTGAAAATAATCTTACAAATTTTTGTTATCCACAGATGCTGCCAGTGTACTGTGTGTCTCTCCAGATTAAAAAACACATAAAAACAATAGTTTCAATATAAATCCATAGGGTACTTTACTCTTAGTATTTGTCAGGTTGAAAACTAACCATCCTCATGATTTGCTTCTTGTCTACCATTTGTAACTCTTATTCCATGCCCAGTCAGACTCCATAGTAGTGTGTGAAAGACTTGTTCAGAATCTCCTAAAGTGTCCAGTTAAATGGTAGCCTTTTAAAAGCTAACTTTTCTACAGTCTGTTGGTTTGATACTGAATACTTACTGATTTGAGATTCACTGATTTTCATAGTCATAGAATGGTTTCTGTTAGAAGGGACTCTGAACACCATCTTGTTCCAACACCTCTGCCACAGACAGGGTTGCTCAGAGCCCCCTCCAGCCTCATCTTGACCACTGCCATGGATGGGACATCTGCAGCTTCTCTGGCCAACCTGTTCCGGTGTCTTACCACCCTCACAGCTGTTTTGTTGTTCTGTCAGTCTCTTTAATTCTGTTTTTTAATAATTTCAACCCATTTGTCTACTCCTTGAGGTAAAAATCACTGGTAACAGGTCTGATCACACCTGGTTAACAATATGTGACTTTTCCCTGAAAATAGGTACAATATAGTTGTCTTTTGTTTCTTTTTTAAAGGCTGTAAATATTGACAGATGAATGGATGTCCAGTCTTGTAGTTGAAAATAAAGTGTTAGAAAACATTGATTTTGATTAGTTTACCTGGTGTTGAAAGTGGTCTCTATGTATGACAATACCCAGATGTGAGTAGATGTCAAAACATCTACAAATCTTAACAAATAATATTTTCTCCCATGTTGCAAATGCAAGAGTAGATATCTTACTCTGTGGCAAAGGCTGCAGCAGAATTGTTTGTTCCCTGTTTAGATTCACCACTATGGCAGATTTGCTGGTCAGAAATAATCGTTTTTTCTGCAGCTATGAGAGTCATAACTGTTTTGTATGCAAACATTTTGAAAAAGAGATAACTGCAAATAGAGATTTTACTTTGTTGTTGGTTTAAAATGCAAATGCATTTTTAATTTGCAAGCTGTAGTGGCAGTTTTCTGTTTAGTGCATGCATAAGCATGCAAGTAGCATAGAAGAAGTATTTGAAGTGGATTTTGAAATGGCACCATCATCTTAATTATGAGTGTAAAATTCTCAGTTCTTCATATTTTTGTTCTATTTTTGGAACAATTATGGAAAATGGAGATTAGTCTAGACTTCACTGTACTGCTTGTATGGCATCTAGGTCTTCTTACTAAATGTGTTTAAAGTTTGGTGACTTTTTTATTACACACAAACAGTACAGAAGTAAGCTAAAATGTGAATAAGAGTGCAGCTATTGCAAGTAGATGTCTTGGTGATAAAATATTTGGTTTTCTCTGTGCAGCTGCTACAGTAGCCAAGGTCTGTACTACAGTTTTTCATCTGGGAAGGAGGAGAAACACTTCAAACCACTACCAGAATAGATGGGCAGTAGCTAAATTGCAAAGTGCAGAAATAGACAGAATTGTAAATTATCACGGTAAATACTGTCAAAGCAGGACTGTGTAAGGTGTTGGACCAAAACCATACACTTTGAGTTACACAGATGAAAGTAAGGGTAGTGAACATAATTCAAATGCTATCAGATCCACAAATAAATATAGGACTTGGCCAAGAAGACGACAGTTTCAAGAAAAGTGGTGATTCCTCAGCTGTGAAACACTTGAATGAATTACTGGGCATCAACATGTGCTGAAATTTAATATTTTATTCATGCTAACTGAACTTTAACTGCTGGTTAATGAAATTACACCAGATGAAGTATTTACAAATACCAGTAAAGCAATACCAACACAGATGTTTCAGTGTTTGGTTTATGTATCATTGACTGTTATATCAATATATATTTTTGAAATTATCTTCATGCTTCTGGCATTCCCCTACTTTCCTCACCAGGCTGGTGGCTTTCAGAATTGCTTCCTGCAACAGTGCTGGACTTGCTGTCCCTCCTGAACACACAGAGCTCTGACTGGCTCTGGAAGTGCCCCCTCTTCACTTAGAGCATAATTTTCGTGTGACTGGTAGTAAGTATAGCTGCTTACTAAGGTTGGACTCAATGATCATAAAGGTCTTTCCCAGCTTAAATTATTCTATGATTTTGTGGCTATTTTTTATATTCTTGATAAGGCAGAAGCTGGATAAACATGCTGACACTTCCAAAAGCAAATACCAGAACATAGGATTGTTATATTTTTAGAATATAAAAATATTTGAGGGGTTTGGATTTTTTGGGGCTTTGTTTTGCCTAGATAGGACTTGGGAGAATAGAGCTAAGATGCAGAATACTTTAAAGGATATTTGTGGGAATAGTCCAGGTTAACACACACTCTCAATGTACAACCATTAATCCAACACCTTTGTAGACAAAATAACGGATATTGAATGCATAGTTCAGTGTCACAGCACAGAAGATGCCTGCTAGGCAGTATGCAAAGGTACAAGGTTTTTCTTACATAAAAAGACAAAAGTTCAGAGCAGATTTATGCTTTGCTCAGGAAAGATGCAAGGAGCTTGCCTTTCCTCTTGTCTTCCATAGAGGCAGCAAGGCCAAATCCATGACCATTCTTATTGTCCCACAACGAAAAACCTTGATCTGATTGTAGTATTTCTTACTGATGGAGAAGCTAGAACTTGTGCACAAATACTACTCAATCACTAAAGAATGGATTTAGAGGGAGGAGGACAAGGATTCTGGTGTCATAGGAACCAAGATTTCATCAGTGTGCAGAATGGCTGCACAAGCCAAAAACACTACAGCTGAAGGGTAACTGACTACTGCTATGGAAAACAGTAAGCTCCAGATGTAGGTTTGAAGACTTGAAGTAGAAAAAACACTTTAAAAAAATGTGCAATGACACCCGAAGACACTATGAGTCAGCTGGGGTTGACAGAGGATGGATTAGTTTAATTGCTTCATGCTAGCAGGGGAAATGGGGGATTATAAAGGAATTTACAAATACATCAGTGCAGAAATAATATTTGGGAAAGGAAGTGAGTAGTTTTCTCATTCCCCTTATGTAATAGTAATGAAGACTGATGTGTTAGAGCATCAGGAGTTTAAAAGGGAAGGGGGTTTTCCATATGTAAAACGAACAAGCTGGCTGATAAGTATTGCAGGATAGTAATTAAAGTGACAGAAATGTACCAATGCCAGTTTTTATTTAATAAAATGTAATGGATAAGTGGAATGTAAGAGCTAAATAAATACAATATAGTGAAATTTTTGTTAACTTCTGTGTAAATTCTAAGGATATTTTTTTGCTCTTATTGGATAAGGGACACATTCTGGCATGTGTTACAACACTACTGAACAAATAACACTGAAGAATCATTTGCAACAGCTTTTGTATTGATTGAATTTAGTCAGAAGCAGAATCTGTGTTTTCCAGCACTTCTCACCAGACTAGCCCAGTGAAGACCCTCAGTGTGTTTGAGGTGAATAGATAGAGGCAAGTTTCCATGTGTCTCCTTAACTCTGGGAGCATCGCAGCTCATTGAATGCCTCTGTGTTCAACTTGCAAGCTGTCTGGTTGCTTGGAGTTCTGCTGCTGCACATGTTCCCAGCAGCTGATGATATCTGGTAATCACTGCTGAAGTTGTAGAAACTGTGATTTTTCTGCCTAAATCCTATAAGAGACCTGATGTGCTTTGGCCCTCCTTGGCCCCTTGGGCTTTCACTTTTAGCTGACTGCACCTACTACAAAGCTGCAGAGCAATGCTCCAGAATGGAATTGAAATTGAGTGGATGAATGGAATGAATTACATACATGTCTGTACTAAAATTTTCTCCTATGCCTCTGTGTGCTTATCATGAAATCTTGCTCGAAAAATAAATTCAGATTTGCCTAAATAGGAAGAAAGATTCTTGATTTTAAAATTGTCTGAGTAGCAATGGATAGTAATGCAGTTGTTTTTATAGCCATATAGAGGGTTTACAGTCCTGGAGAGGGGGGAGGAAGTTCATGAAGAACATGAAGACATTTCTGTTACTGAAATATATTGTTAGAGTGGGAAGACTTTCAAACAATAAGGGGAAAATATAAAGAAATACAAGAGCAACAATCAAAAGTTGGGTGAGTACGTCCTGGCCATAAAATAGAGGCAATGAAAGGGGATTTGGGAAAGCATATTTTAAACCTGCATTAAAGAGATAAATTTGGATACAGTGAGAGGTGAAAAGCCACTGCAGTTTTGGGGTGTATGTCCAAATATTGCGTAGTAGGGAGTGTTAGAGCTCTTGCTCTGAAACCAATGATTCTGATACTGTAATTCTGCATGAAATACTGAATTAGTTTTGGGGTCAGCATGATACTAACACAGTAGAAGAATACTGATATGGTCCCATCCCGTGAAAGTAAAGACAAGGCTCAAATATAGAAATTCTTGGGTAGATGCAATGGGGAGGTAATTCGAGTGATTTGGCGTGGCTGTACTATAGAACAGTGAAATAAGGTAAACAAGAACTTATTTCACCAAATAGCAGTGAAGAGGGAAACCTCTTAGCATGAAATACTATTTTCCCTAGAAGATACCTCTTGAGTTACCTGGAAATTTTAAAACTAAACAGCACAAAAAGACTAAACAAGTGTGTTAGGAAAAGGAAAAGAAATAATCCTGGCTTGGATTGGCAGAGCAAGAGGTGGACTGAGCTGACCCAACTGGTTTCTCCACCTTTAGACTGTACAGTTGTAAAGCATGTTTATCAGATGATTGTCAGATAATGAGCTTCTGAGAGCACAGGACTGGATGCCACCTGCAAGTATTAAAGAGGCTCTAGTGTCTTCTTTGTGATAATTTGTTGCTGAAATTCCTCTTCAGGTTAACATGCCCTCATGGAATTTCTATTAGAGGAATTGAATTGGAGCAGACAAAAGAAATGAACCTTGTTTCTCACTCCTTGCTTCCCCACCTCACATCCCAAGCTTCCCACTTCTAGTTTTGATGCATTTCTTAGTGAAGTAGCTGATACTTGATTACTGTGTTGACTTAGTAGAACTTAGGAAGCCTTTTACTGATGAGACTTGTGTTGCTATTTATCCACCCTTCCCCATCTTATAACAAAACCAGCTGCAGTGCTTGCATGGCCTTGCAGTGTGATCTGGTGTCACCAAGGGAGCACAGACACAGAGGGGTGATCCAAGTGTGTAAAATATCTGATCATATTTTGCCTCAGATAGGAAGTAGCATTATAAAATTGTTTTGTAAACAACATGTGACTTTTATAGCATTTACATGCATTACATATATTTTTGTTTGATGTGGGAGTTTTCAATTACTTTCTAAGGACAAGAACTTTTTTAAAGATCTTAAATAGTCTGAGCAACCACATCTAAAATACCCTCCAGCATTCACAAAAGACAGAAGTAAGGGATGGAAATAGAACATAGGCATTGCTCTTCCTTACAGAAAAGAAAATGGGTATTTATAATTGCCACAGTCCAAATTTCTCATCAAAGTCCTTTGGTAGCTTAGATTTTCTCAAAATTATGAGCACCACCATACCATTTGGAAAGTAATAAGCAGATTCATGATAGTAAAGCCACATACAATTAGATTTATTTATTTTAGCATGAATTTATTTATTTATTATAGCAGAAAGTTGCAGAGACTCCTATAATTTAAATTAGTTTTACAAAGCCAGAGCGGAGCTGGAATTAATTCAAGCAAAAAGTATGTGGCTTTCATATTAGAGCTTTTGAACTTGACACAAACAATTCAGCTGGTTTTCCTGTTTAACAAAAAATTAGGCAGGGAAACAGTAAATCCTTGAGAAAGGAAAACGTGGAAATTTCAGCCTGCTGGTACTCTGAAATAGTTTTCAATCAAATTATGGAATGTACTACTACCATTCTGCCACACGTTAACACAGCACCTACCAAGAAAAGTGGTTTCAGTGACAGAGCCCAGACTTGCAGCATAAGGCCAGCAACACTCACCCCACACATGTCCTGGCTGTGTTCAGGTCTGAGGCACAAATATTTATTCCCAAAGTCAGTTGCTTCCATGTGCCATGAGCATAAAATTTCAGAAGTCCCTTGTATTATGGTTTATGTGCTTTTTTAAAGGTCTTCCACTGACATGTAATAAAGTCAAATCTCTGGTGATCAACCATATACTGGTATGCAGTAAAGATCTCTATTTGTATGAGTGGGGATGTACAAAATCAATGGGTATCTCTGCCCCTGAATTGCAGGTTAGATAAACAGGAGGAATTAATGACAGAAACAGACAGCAAAGAAATGCTTCCTGCAGGACTAAAGGATTTGGGTTTTGTTTGTCAGCATTTTATGTCTCAGCGCATGCAGGTTTCCATTTCCAGCTCCAAGACAATTTGCATTTGAAGTTTGGGTTCAGGCTTTTGAGAGGCAGGAATTATCTGCAGTGTGCAAATGTGAATGGGGAGTGCAACTGCCCAGGAGACTGGTGATACATCATCTCAAGGGTTTTTGTCAAGGTCTTATATTTTAGCAGTGTCAGCCTTCCCAGTCTGTTGCAAGCACAATTTACACCCCTTCTGTCTCCAAAGAGAAAAGGAAAGGCGACAGAGATGTTCCCAGAGGAGTGACCAATTTTTACCCTTCAGGAATGTTCAAGGATAGCCACCCTTAGTAATCCTTAATAGTTGTTTTTAAAACAAGGGAGGGGGGTGAATGAAAATCAGTTAATACCATTTCCCAAGTGTTCTGCAGTGCACATCATTATCTATTCTGCTTCTTGTAGTCATTAGCAGAAAAAAATTAGGTCTAGCGATGAATGGTCAGTATGATGCTGTGAGCAACACAGAGTTCAATTTGAAATT